AGTATATAATACACTAGATCTAAGGCAACATATTTTGGTAACATACAATACCCGAATAAAAGATTAAAATGTTATTATCAATAGGTCATATATCATAAAGTTTGAGAAAATGTACTGCACAATAAAACAGATAGGATGCTTTGAAAGGTAACCTTTCCTCAGGTCTGAGTCGATTGTTTTTAGGAAAACATTTTGATTTATCTGTTCTTGAAAATCTTAGTAATATCATAAAAACAAAGTAAAAGAAAATAACGTTGGATGCGTAAAATAATTTTTAGCGTGAATGAATGTTATTTCTAGGCTGTATCATTGAGTACTTATAGTTCTAAGGTCTGAAATTTGATCCCATGCGGTGGGCACAGTACAGATATTCCATTGTGCAGCTTTGAGCTTAACAACAAACAAACATTTTGACGTCCCAGAATCATCTAGTTTAATTACCTTGAAACTATGCACAGCTATATTACCGTGTGATACATCATTAAATGATATCTTAATAGTTTTTTGTTATATTATGTGTATTAGCACATTAGTTTTTGCATCTGTATACTGAACTACAGGTTCCTTTGTCTAGGTAAACTACTTGAACCTGGTGATGAAGAAACCTTGTCAAAACGTTGTACATTTGTCAACTGTGTGAAACTTGTAAATAAAGTTTCCTTCGTTACCCATTTAATAGTCTCAAAGTTTGTTACTCGTCATCAAACAATTGTTTATTCTTATTCTAATTATGGGTGGGTAAAAATGTGACAATGCTCAACTGGCCATAAAAATTACTTGTGTAATATGGAAATCATAAAACTACAAAATAATTTTATTTTCTAAATACAAAAATAACCCAATGAAGGCGTGATAAAAATGACATCCATGGTGCGATCACATAAAAAAAACACATTTGTATGTTTCTTTTTTATGTTTTGTATCTTAGTTTCTTAGTGTATATACAGAGTGATGAAACAACGAGGTAAGGTGACGGAAATTGCTTAATGGCTCAGTAAAGGTACCTTAGAATTATAGGATGCTGGTTTAGAGTATGATTGTGTCGTACAATTAGGGTGGTTTCTTTGATTTTATGTTTGGTTCTTTGTTAAAAACTATATTGTTTTAATATATATATACTAGGTTTTTTGAGTTGCAATAGTTGTAAAAATGGGAGTTTTGTGTGTGTGTGTTCAGGAACCATAGAACCTAGGTTCTAATTTTCTTTCAATGTAAAATTATGGACAGTTATTTCCTTTAGTAATTGCTGAAAAACGTTCACATATCTACTACAGCAAAAACCTTAAAACCCAACTCACGAAGAAAATTGATACTAATGAACAAAACAACAACGAAACATTACACTTTAACTAACCATTTCATCCCCCCAAAGAAATCAGTTCAAAAATAGTTCACACTTTGACAAAACTTACTATTAAACATGAAATTCCTGTTCATTTCAAATTCACTCAAGAACCTGACCCTAAACTTAAACCATAATTAAATACAAATTACGTAAAACCACACAATAACTATATCATTTATAAAACACTAGAATTTTGAACAAAGAACCGAATATCTACAAACGTAAATTCAAAAGAGACATTTTAATTTAATAGCTCTACTCAAAACAAGCACTCTGGAATACTAAAGAACCTTTACTAAGCCCTTAAGTAATTTCCGGTCACTTGACTCCTGTTTCATCACTCTGTACATATTTCTGTGCCTAGATAAACTACTTGTATCTGATAATGACAAAACCTTATCGAAACTTTGTACATTCGTCACTGTGTTAAAGTTGTAAATAAAGTTCTTCGTTACCCACTCAAGCTGTCTCTAAACTTAATATACAAATATATTTCTTTCAAACAATTTCACGCAGGTTTACTGGGCTTAATTACGTTTCCGTACACAGAATGTAGGTAATTGTGAACTATCCCAGCCTGATGAACCCTGGCATTGAGCGAAAGGCTTCGTTGGCACTGGATATAACAAATGCAGTGTGTTTAATATACTGCTATAAACATTACTTTATTTTCAGATATAATTAGTTCCTTGAGTCAATGTTATATACCAAAATGCTTATTCAAGAGATCTTCTGGAGAAGTGCCTCTCTGATGCAGTGTAGAAGGAGAGGGTTGTGCAGAAGCTCCAACTGAATGTAATAAGAATGATCACTGACGTAGATAATGTAGGATTGTAAAATGTCACTTTAGGATCCAGTTGCGACAAAAAGTGTAGTATTAAGTTATTAATACAGACTCCATCCTGTTTTTATCCAGTGAAGACATTTTCTGTTAGAGTTCCAGCAGCGTTAGTGCTGTGACGTTGTGGTCGGTTGACCAGCTAGCTGGTTCGCCAATTAGCAGGTTCATTTAAGAAAATAATAATTAATTAACAATATATGTTGGTAAAATAAGTGAATGATGTGGTGTTAAACAATACTCACCCTAATTCTGATTCTTGTTACATAATTACAATTGATTAAGAATTACAGTTCATCAGCTTAACTCAGTTCACACCGTTACAGTCGTTGTCAAGCAAATTTTGCTAATACGAATAGCGTTTCAACCACTACTATGTCTGTTATATTCAAGCTGTCCTGAAGATCCCTGGCATTAGGCTAAAGTACTCGTTGGCACTGGATATAGCAGATGTAGCGTGGTTGAAATATTATTATACACTCTTATTTACTTCTACTCAGACGTTCTTATTAATAATTGCTAAGAAGTTGACCAGAATTGAAAGTGTATTAATTAGGCAGTTTACAATACTTTGAATGAAACAAAATAAAGATCCCTTACTCAAAATCCTGAGGCATTTCCCTTTGAATCTCTTGTAGTGCAGACTTTCAACTTTCCCGTGTTTTACCTGTGAATTCCACATTTATATTCGTGTTTGTTTGTTTATTATTAAGCACGAAGCTTCGCTACGGTTGTTGGTGCTCTGCCCAACGCGGGTATCGAAACTCGATATCTAACGTCGCTAAGTTATCGGACTTATCGTTGAGCCACGGGGGGAGTGTACTTGTGTGATTCGTCTCTGATTTGAAATTGGGACTTTTCCCTAAGTTTTTTGTGAATTTTTTTTTCTGTATATGTGTGAAAGCATAAGCAATTAAACAGCTTTCGAAATATTTGAAAATGAAAATCACCAAGTAAAAGAAAATGAGCAATGCCTGTTTGTTCAGGAAAATATAACATTTAAATTTGATGACGAGGAACTCACTTTTTTAAAATAAAAGTTTGGAGACGGCTTGAATAAGTAAATATATAATATATAAGTAATATAAACGTACAATGTTTTGACAAAATTATGTAATTATCAGGTACAAGTAGTTTACATAGACACAGGAATATACATATAGTATGGAACAAATAGGTCTATGTAAACTACTTGTACTTGATTATAACATAATTTTGTCGAAACGTTGTACATTTAAAAAAAGTTTTCTTCATTGTCCATTCAAGCTGTCTCCAAACTTATAAAATATAATATTGCCTGAAGGACTTTTCAGTACAAGGGAGAAAACAAACTATACGTATCATTCAGTAACAAAAACGTTAAATTATTTTTAATATCAGCGAGTTAAATGTTTTATAAAAATCAAGCGCCTGTAGATATCATTAGACAAAGATTGTATCCATACTTAATACTCAACGGACACGTATATTTGTATAATGCCTTTTTGCATTTATATCCACCTGATAAAAGATAAATTTCAATTAATTTTTATTTAAGCTTTTCTATACACAGTTTAGTGTTGTTATGTTTCTGATAATTAAACTCCCATTTCTTTACATCATAAATTATTGGGCTATAACTAAACAATAGTTAATCCACGCGAACAATCTTCCCTCATCCTCACCTCCCCAGGTCTCTCAGCTAAATCAATTATTATCATGAAGTTTTCAATTGTGTTGAAAGAATGGAAATTTGTTTAAAACTGTAGTGGCTTAAAAAGTCAAAAGCAGGCTCAACACGAGAACATAGCTTAATACTAATAACGTTTCAGCATAACCAACATGTGATTTTATAATTTTTCAGTGTTAACAGATACATGTTGAAGTCCCGAATAACTTTAAATCTGTATCTTCATCAATAATATTTATCTAAACGTAACTAGATTATTTAGCAAATAACACAGCTAGTAATTAAGAAACATAGGCCACGTGATATTTCCCAAACTTTTCAAGGTATTATTCGTATGCCTATTATTTCTCTTTCTGGTTGCATTTTGTAACGACCGTTTACGAAATTCACTGAATATATTAAACATCAATATAATATAATATAATATAATATAACATCAACTGTCAAACACAGGCCACTTTGCAGCATTTCAGCATCATTGTTACACTTCAAAATGAATGGGTTCTTCAAATAAAACAAACAAACATAGTCATAGATAATCAAAGAAGTGCCCTCAATAAAAGTAGTTGTTATTAATTTTGTATGGGACGTCTGCATCAAATTCAAAGAGAGAGAGAGAGAAGGAAAAAAAACCCTTTTCACTAGCATGTTTATATCGTTCTGATCTTTTTATTAATATGTATTCACGACACAACTTTACATTCAACATTTTTACTGATGTTTTAAGTTTCACAAAAACAGGCTGTGGGCTACCAATACCATACAATTATTGTTAAAGAGTGACCTTAATTTTTGACATAAAGTACACATTCTACTTCAAAACTTCGAGTTAATAGGAAAGAACAAAACTCCTACGTAAACACAAGATCAGTGAACGATATCTATTATTAATATTATTGTCAGTGTATGTATATATATACACACTAAGCCATATAGTTATAGTCAAGACTTTTATGACCGGATATCAGCTGTACTGTTTTGCAGCAACACTACTTTAGCGAAACTATATCAAAATATAACGTTGATGTTTAAAATAAAAGGTGAATTCTATAGGCCTAATGCAAATTAACCTTATCGGTCTTAAAACTCCAAAACAGAAGGCAATAAAATAGTTTCTAATTTTAAACAGATAGGTATTTTATACTTATACTTTACAGAATTGTAGGTGTTATTTCTGTTGCTTCCCTGACAAAATGAGTGACAGATGCCGGTTGAGGTTTTTAAAGTCTACAGTTAGCAGTTGTTAAGTTAAAGTTGCTTAGAAGTTAGAATTACGTAGGTTTATGATTAATATATTTGTGACAAAGACACTTTGCGACATACCAAACTTCGACCACAGAAGAATAAGTGTGTTTGTAACAAAATTTGAATTATCAGTGAGCAACAGGGTAATTGGAAAAGTTAGAAATTAATACTAGTGCTACAAAGCGCGTACTAGACAAAGTTCATAAGGACACTGTATATCGGCGGTTCTTCTTCACCTAACTCAAATGTTGGCGAGGCATTCCAAGGCTGACCCAAAACTTGTCTACAAGTAGATTGGCTTTCTTCGCTCCACTTACCATTCACCACCAGATACACTTCTCTGCCATTATCTCGGAGCAAAATAGCATTAACACCAAACATCCTCGTGGGCTCCCTTATTTGAAATAAGGAAGTATACTCTCGGTATCACGCAGACGAGACTAATAATACGTCATCTCATACACGGGATTAACCTTAGCTCGTAGATACACTGAATCCTCAGGATCTCTTAAAGGGTATCAAAGGTAATCAAAATGTTGGTAAACTTGACCGAAACTTTTTGTTTGTTAGTAAACCTGCCTCTTTATCCTTCAAAGACCTGTGTGTTCATGCTGTGCAAGAACTTCTATGACTGTGAGGAGACGAGGTGTGTACTACATTAACCTGAACATCTACTTAAGATGCCTTTCTTAATTTAGTTTAATATGCTATATATTTCATGATCGTATAAAGCACTTTTGCGTGGACTTTTGTAACAATGTTAACATTGAGCTGTTTTACAAACATTAAACTTAAAACAACAAGCAATATAAAAAACGTTTTTGGATCAACAAAATTATGTTTTCGGTTTGGCTATAAGATGCTCCTACTGTTGTGTATGTTACAAAAAGCTCACATGATTATTAGCAGCTAACCAATGTTCCTGTGTTTGCGTTTATGTTTCGTACAAAACGTCTGAATACTATCACAAATTACTTGTTATTTCAGTTAGTAAAATCCTGCTGTTAATTATGAGTAAATACATTATTATGAATAAACAGAAATTCGATTTTAGCCTTTTTTAAACTCATGATTGAGGAATAGAAGTAACAAAAATGTTTTTACTCAAGACTTATGTTATAATAAAACTTTTCCATTTGCACTGTCTGACATGGTTTGTTTTTTTAACTATCCCAGTTTAACTTATCTATGCATTTTTAATCGCTATATACACCTAATATCACGAAAGGGAATTGCTTAATTTCCGAGCACCCCTGTTTATTCAACCCCAAATTCCTGCCAGATTTTTACAGTTTTATGATTATAATAAACTATATTATTCCGAACAATAAACTAGGTTTATATGTTATTGAAAGAAGTCTAATTAAACATTAGGAATACATTTGTCGAATATCAATACAAGAAAGTCAATACTACAAAAACTGAGTTACTTAAAATTAAAAAGAAAAAAACTATCTCTACTTTGGCGCTCCCAGTGGCATGTCTGCGAACTTACAATGCGAGAAACCAGGTTTCGATACCAATGGTGGGCAGAGCACAGATAGCCCAATGTGTAGCTTTCTGCTTAACTACAAACAAATAAAAAACCCTAATTCGGCAAATCACTGTAGTTATTTTAGTTTGAGCCAAAGTAGGGAAATATTATTTTTAATTTTAAGTTGTCTACAAGTGATCAGTCTTCTTCTTCAACTCATTTATTAACTTGTAAATGATTTTGTCAGCAACAATATCATGTTCAGCCTGCAGATCAACTCGTAATACCAGTCATGTATTCTTATGAGGAATAAAATTGTGAAATCTTTATAGATAGAGTGACAACGTGAATATATTCAGTTAATCTTGCTTTGTGACGGGCGTGTTATTTTATTAAAGAGGTAGAAATAGATTTGGACTTAAACTATACGAAAAGAAACCCCAATAATAATATAAAAAACATGTGAACACATGATGCATCCCATCACCACTATTTAAATGTTGCGTTGAAAACTAGTAAATATTTAAATATTCTATCCGTGTAAAGAATATTTTTGTATTTTTTTACAGACGTTATTTTTTCTTGCTTAACGGAGAGACGTTAAAAGAGTAGCCCAAGAGTTGGCGGTGGGTGGTGATGACTAGCTGCCTTCCCTCTAGTCTTACACTGCTAAATTAGGGACGGCTAGCGCAGATAGCCCTCGTGTAGCTTTGCTAGAAATTCAAAACAAACAATTAATTTTGATTCGCTATATGACTGACTGCGGTGAAGTAAAAGAAAAATTCTTGAACATTACTGATCTAGCAAACACTGACCATTATAAGTTCACTTGACAGAGAGCTGATGAAAAGGAACCTGAATTACAAAAAAAAAATAATAATAATAATTTCTCTTGCTTTCGATGGTGGCGTCACTTTTCCAGAAAAATATAAGTGGTGTGAGTAAGCGAATTTCATAGGAAGTAGAAAGGGGAATTCCTCGTGTACATTGTGGGGCCCATCTTTAGCCTTAACCAGCTCAAGGAATAAAATGTTGTCTATGAAGAGGGTTCTTCATGTCACCAAAGACATATATTCTTTATTACACAAACCATCAAAGCGTGAACGTGTGTTGCACAAGGATCATAGGTCGCTGGAAGAACGTGAACAGAAAATTCCAGAATCAGTCCAAGTGCGATCGCTCACTAATTACAAATCTGTTCATGTTGTCTTAACTTGTTACTACACAATTATGATGGCCTGTTGGCACATACACAAATATGGTGCAGATTTAACATCCTTAGCGGGAGGTATCTCACTGGAAATGGAGAAATATAGTTTTATTGTTACCCGAGCAGTTTTGGATGAGGCTTTATGAACAGTATCTTATCTTAGCAAAAATTTCCAAAAAGAAAACCTAAACCTATCGTCAGTCCCTTAGCTTATGACGTCGACGATAGCACATTTGAGACATATAGGTACTCCGTATGCCCATTGATTTAAGTAAAGAAAACTCTATTGCTATAGCTGTCGTAGATCTCAAAAACGAAGGCTATTGGTGTGCGGCCGATTCTTGAAAATGAGGCAGAAAGTCAAACCTTCAAAAAGTTAAAACATTTGTTGACACTGTGATTGAACAAATTCAATGGTCAAGCGGTTTCCCTCATCAATGTATATGATTCCTTCCAAACGGTCCAGTCAATGTGCAGTTTGACAAATGATGATGTGAAGAGAGGATGTAGCTTCTCTGATGGGCTGGATGTTGATGTTGTGTGTGCTGATTTGAGCTATTTCAAGTACATTGTATAGGAGCAAGAAAATCAAGATAAAAATGTTGTGCATTATTTGTGGAAAGCAAACATCGACTACGAAAGTCTTAAAAAAATAATTGAATTCCTGATGGTGGTGCCGGTTTCGACTGTTGGAGTTGAGCGTTCTTTCAGAGGCATGAACCGTATTTTAAATAAGCTGAAAACCCGGATGGGACGAGACACGCTTCAAAGCTGCATGAAGATTAGCATCGGGGGGCCTAATGTACTTTGAAACACATTGTTGTCAAGGGTTATCGACTTATATGCACGGAAAAAAGCCAAGACGCGTCCGTTTTCTCTACGAGTAGCTAGAGTGAACCGTCTGAACGTATTTTCGGTAATCTATTTCTTTTTTGGAAATTCGGAAAAAAAAATTACATTTAGATATTATAACCATCAACAATAAAATACATCACTGTAAAATTGTGGGGGTCAAGTATTTTAATTAAAGTGCAATATATTCCATTTTGCCTAATTTGAATTTGATTTCATTCTCCCAGCTTCATATCCCCCCCCCCCCCTGGATTCAACACTGCTATTCATGTGTCGTGGACCAAATACATAGATACCAATACTTTAAGGAGCGATGTCGCTATTAAGAAACCACATTATATCTTACTAAAATATTTTGTTATGTTAAAAATTATACATGCTAACGATAAATAGAAAATGTAGGAACCTTAGCGAGACCGCTTAAGAGAAAACTTGCTTAGATCTGAAGTTAATATTAATACAAAAAAAATGTATAAATACAATGTCAAGTGTTAATTGTTTATGACGGGTCGTTTTTTTTTTTCATTTTTATACTATTTTAAAATGCTAACTGACTCAAAGGTAAGTCTGCAGGCTTACGATACTAAACACTGGGTTTCGATACCCGTGATGGGCAGAGCACAGATAGCCCATTGTGTTGCTTTGCGTTTAACAACAATCAAACCAAAGCCAGTAAAAATAACTATTAATAAAAACAACACTGTACACGCTAAATCGAATAATCGCACATTATTTAGCCACAAACTACTAACTCAAGATGAAATCTGATAAAATAAGGAAGTAATTATATAGGTCCCCTAGCGTGCTAGCATACATCCTGTTACAGTGGCAATAAATATCAGCGATTGGTCAGTATGAGGAGGGAGGTTTCTTTCTGTTCGTTGCATTTTAAACAAGAAGATAAAGATTAAGAATGTTTCTTTTGTTGTTGTCTGTTTTTTGTGTGTTTGTAACATTTACAATACAAAGTCAATGAATGCTTACACCAAAAGACTGCCCAAAAGTTACTAAGAAGTTTTTAAACTTACGAAAAGAGATAATTAACTTGACATAGTTATTGAATGGTGTTAATATGATATGCACACGCGCACGCACTTGCATATATATATATATATATACACACACACACACTGGCACATATAGTTAACAAATACAGTTTTTCTAATATATATGGTAGGAAAGGTATCATACAAATTTACCTGGGCGTATTTTTCCTATTGATTCAAATGATTAGGTTATTTACCATATATGTTATTACGATTTCTGTGATTAGCAAACGTGTATATATGTTAGAAATAGAGCTTACAATATTCATGGCATATATAAAAAACAACACTCCTTTTACATTGAAATGAACTTCCGATCAGAGCAAACTATCACTTACTACTTTAAAGCGAAGCTAAAAGTCAGCCTTGTAACGGGTATAGCTAATTAAACACACTTTTCTTAAGTTCTTGCTTATAAAGATTAGAAAGTATCGTTTCATAAGTTGGTTATCTTTTCTTTTAACGATATTTTCGGCCGTGATCCCATATTTAAAGATGGTAACTTTTTGTTGGTTTTATATAAAATATTTAATTCAAATTTAAATTAGAATCTCACTATACAGTAAAACTTTTTAGCTGTCTTTTTAATCATTTACATTCCTCAGCTGATGTAATAATATCGAAACTGTTTCTTAACGAGAATAAGTCAAAAGTTTTTGACTCCAGCTTTTCTAAAATATATTTTATAGCATAAGTAAGCTAGTTATTTTTTTTTCAACACAAAGTTGCACAATGAGCTACTTGCGCTATTACTTTAAGGGGAATCGAATCGTGAATCTTGAAGTTACCTAGCAACTGAGGGACAGTTAAATTAGAAAAAAGGAGCTTTTCAAAGCCCATGAAACAAGTTGGTACAACTTTAATATCGCCTTTCTTGATTGTTTCAGAGTTCTATAAAATTATGAACTAATGAGACAAAGGAACCGATGGTAAATTGATAACTTATTTCAAAGTAGTCTGTAAAAAAATATTATAATCATTTGATTATCGTATTCATAGGTATATATTTTATTTATGATTTAATTAAAAACAGCTTTTTTTGTTTAAAGCTAAGCACAAAGCTACACGATGAGCTATCTGTGCTGTGCCCACTACGGGTATCGAAACCTAGTTTCTAGCGTTGTAAGACTAAAAAGAGTTAAGGAGTCTGCTAGAAAAATAAAAACTATGGAATCTACTAAAAGATGCAACATTTTATTCCACTATCCTGTGTAAAAGAAACTGTATTTTCAACCTACATCTCAGGAATGTTAAATTTTCACTAAGCAGCGTCATATTATTTATTCATATTGTTATGCTAAGCCAGGGTTTGCAGGTTAACACGTCTTTGAAATAGTACTTATTTGGATGGTTTATGTTTTTAACCACTACTGGTTTTCCAGTTGATATAACTTTTTTTTCAACTCTTTATGTGTATAATTAAAAAACAACAACAACAGAGAACTGGTTTGTGTATCGTTAGAAATTGTAATGAAAGTATGACTGTTGTTTGATCTTGTCTTCAAAATAACAAGAGCCCATGATTTTTTGGACAACCGGCTCCATATCATTCACCAACAATAATAAAAGCTAATTCAACACTTAGTCATAACCTAGATATGAACTTATATTGTGAATGTAAAGATTGACTTTGGGCTTACAAGGGTAGGGGAATTAATCTAGGATTTTGTAAAGCAACTAAAAGTCGAGGAACAAACCAATTTCTTCATTCCGGCTTTTCATAGTAGTCGTCAATTGTAGAGCAAAAATATGTTAAAGTAGAGTTCAGCATTGGCATTGAGTCTTAACTAGAGCAACAGTTTACTGCAAAAACAAAACAAATTTAAGTGGTATATATCAACAACACAAAACTTGCCCTTTTAATTTGTGGTGGGCAGAGAAGAAATAGCCCATTTTGTAGCTTCATGCTTAACTACAAACAAACCTTTTTAATCTAAAAGCGTAATATCGAATTCAAGCGTTATTTTCTATTATGGGAATGTATTTTTAATCATGTTTACATTGAATTATACCGTATTTAGTTAGTTCCTTATGTGCTGTTTTCTGTAGCTAGGTTTTAGTGTAAGCTAGTTTTAACTGCTGTGGATGTGTTATAAGAGTGACAGTCATTCTCTTAGTGTGGCTTATAGGTGGTAGGTTACTGCTAACAGGCTGTCCTTCCTTTGATCAGTAGTTCAAAATTGTGGATGGCGGCAGTTAGCATTAGTATATTTGCTATAAATACAAAACGTAAATACCGAACTTTTAATTTTTCTAAACTATTATCTTTGGTACTTAAGAAAGGCTTGTTTATAATCTTCTAATATCAAAACTGATTATTCATTTGAGTGTAATATTTGTTTTATAATAGTTATTTTTTATATTCGAAGGAAAAGCCCCCCAGTGGTACAGCGGTATGTCTGCGGACTTACAACGCTAGAATCCGGGTTTCGATACCCGTGGTGGGCAGAACACAGATATCCCATTGTGTAGCTTTGTGCTTAATTACAAACAAATCAAAGGAAAAACACAAATCCTAATTTTCATGTGTTTGAGTTAACACTTTCGTTTATTTCCAACAGCTCACTGTACGTTTTAAAAAACTTAAACAGACAACAAGCCAACAACGTATAGTATAATGTATATGTTTATGATATCGTGGTTTTCTCACACAATTGATTTCTATTTTTCAAATTATTGTTGTAAAAAATAGCTTATTTGAATATTTTTCCGACAACTACTGTGTTTGTGTGTTCCAGCCGTTTTGATGAGCTCTCTATTGAGCGAAGCGTGTCATCGGCAATAAATATGGAGGATATGGTGTGGTTAAAATACTACTATACACTCTTCTTCTTGAAAAACCCTAAGGTAGTGAATAAAGAAAGCAATATAGATATACTGAGCCTATTACTAATATTTATGACAACTACAATTAAATATAATTATTTTTCAAACAAATAAATCCTACGGACAATTGGCTATTCATTTCGGAAGACAGCTTGCAGTGGGTAGGGGGAAATAAATATGTTTATTGCATTAACTTAAAATTTAGTATAACGTTTTAATATTTGTCAAGTAAAAAACAAAAAGCAAAAAATAATATTCCTCGTCATCAAGATACCATCTTTTTGATTTATTATGAATGTTTGCTTCATCATAATTATGGATGTAATGTTCATTTTTTCACAATTGTAGCAATTTCTTCTTCCTTGAGACTTTTGTCTGCAGTTCCTGGCCACATACCTTTTAAGTTGCAGTCGAAATTCTTTCTGTCCTGTAGTTTACTTCTTTTATTCTGAGTAAACAGCTGTTTCATTAATACTTTGAATTTTTCTAGACTTCAGTAGATGGAGTTGATAGTTCTACACTATTTGATTTAACAATTATATAATTCTTGAATGATGCTTTAGTAGCTTATCTTCAACTTTAATTGATTTTAGTCCCATTGCCAACTGAATAGCTTCCCAAATGTACATCTATTTTGCCGTCGTTTGGTTCGCATATACACATTCACTTCCTTATTTAAGAATTTGTCAAAAGCTGACGAATCCATTATTTCACGTGGAGAATTTGGATAACATAACTGGACAGAACTTTCAAAATATTTATAAGTTTGACTAAGTTCTCGTATTTTTTCATTGCTTCGCTTCTCAACTTTATTTTAGATTCTTTCTTCTGATGTAGTACTACAAATCTGTTGATGAGTGGGCACTAAATCCTAATAGTCATTAAAGCTTTTAGATGGAAGGTTGTATAATGTTGTTAAAGATGAGCCTTTTAAATGCACATTTACTTTGGACATTATTTTAAAATGCGTCTGATATACCCCCTATTATACTTTTTCATCATAGTCTGTTGGTCCTTTGAAAGGATGATGGTTTTGAACTAGCCTGCTATACTCTGAAACGTGATGAGGAAGTCGTGTATTTGAAGTAGACCAGGAAGGTCTTGCAGTATTAGATGGAACATCTATAGTATTATCAGGTGTTAAAAAGATGGGTTATCCTATTACATACTGCATAATTAATGATGTTTGAGGTGAGAATTATTGAGCAGATGTGCTCAGAGGAGTGACTGGTTTGATTTTCGATATTGTTAATTTAGTTTGTAATGTATATTCTTGGTATTGATGGCCTTTGGTATTTCATCGATCGATTTTGTTGTTACAGTCACATTGTTCTTCTGTTATGTATTCATATTTTTTTTTGCTTCAATGTTGTCTTTTGTCTTTTGTTTTTACTTTGCCGATGTCCTTTGTTCTTCCATTTTTCTTTCGTACATTTCCTCCTATAGCTCCCCAGTCTTGCCTCTGATAAATTAATTTGCGCTCCTTCTGTAAATCTTACGTCCCTTACTTCTTGATTTAATTTTAATTTTTTGCTTATTTCTTCATCTCCTTTCCACTGTTTCGTCATTTCAATTAAATTCTAATCTCGCATCGAGCAAATGTCGTCATCTTGAAGTTGGTTCTTGATTTCATTTTAGTTTTACCAAAATGATCTCATTTCTGATACCAGTATTGTGATGGTTTCTATTGTTTGGCGAGTCCACTTATTGGTCACACAAAAATTTTGTTTCATCCATTGAAGTTGTATCTCTATTTCTTCTTTTGTTTCCTAAACCTTCAACAAGGCTCTAATCACCAAGGCTACGCCCACCAAGTTAAGTTAAACTGCATTCCTGCTGAACAACAATATAAATTTCTAGAAATATATATAGATTAAATATATATGTATAAGAAAACAATACGTTCGTAACATTTCTAGCACTACTATATTATATAATTAAACCGCTTTTGCGGTTACAACACGAAAAGAACTATATAAGCAAGAGAGCAAGATAATTTCAAACACATTTTTATAATTGGAACACAGTTAATTATGTTGTTACTGTTAATTATGAAACAACAACAACAATCGAACAAGCAAGAACAACAATAAAATCATTCAAAGCAATAAAAAATTGTCGACTGCTTTAAGTTTTGTATGAGTGATTTTAGTTCAATTTTAAATAAATGTATTCATATTTAGTTCATGAATTTATTTTAAACATTCGAAGGTCTTTCTTAGAGTTAATATAAAAGTAATTATAAAACGCTTACTGTGATAAAGCTTTAGAATTTGAAGCTGGTGAGTTGGGTTCGAATCTGTCAATGTTCTTTTTTAAGCACAAAGCTGCACAATAAACTTTCAATGCTTCGTCCAATGCAAGGAATCCAACCCCGGATTTTATCATTGTATGTCCGGAACTTACCGCCGAACCATTGAGTACGATTCGAAGTTGTATGATACCAAAAAATATAAAATATTTCTCGCACATTAAGTAATGGGTGTATTATATGAATGACAGTAAATACTTTAGGGTGAACATTGGATGTTAAGGTACTCATGACTGGATGCCATCTTTCTGGTCAGTAGTTCAAAATTGGGGACCATAGCACATAACCTTAGTAGCTTTGCAATAAATAAAAATAAAAAAAACGGTCTCTTTTATAAAACCTTTTGTGTGTTGCTCCAAAAAATTTAATATTTCTTTTAATAAAATATTAGAGAAATGTAAGTATTTGTATAAGAAAAATATTCAAATAAAAATCTTAATAAAATAATATATATCTTATATATTCAGTTGTTGTACTAAAGTACGAGATTTTTGATAATTCTTGACATTTAATTTTAGTGCTTATATAATTATAATCGTTAGGTGGCTTATAGTAGCTACAGCCTACAAATGTAAATTTCAGAGGATTCATGCGTGAGCTAATTGTACAATAGTTTTGCTGTTAGCAACGAAACATTTTATTCATTATCGGTGACTGATAGTATCATTTTGGTTAAAGTGTAATGGGTAAAAAAGGTATGAATCGTACATTATTTAAAATAACGAAACTGGATTTGTTTTTATCAATCAGAACCTACTCAAAAATTAATGAAGTACAACTTGTATTACAATACAAGTATACTATTTAGAGTATAGTCTATGGACACTGTATTAGTGTATAGGTTATATTCTATTTCTATTCTAATGCTTGGTATTAGAATAATAATAACACTAACATTCAGTAACAACACATTTAAGTTAGAAAATGAAAAGTTAAAAATGCATAAGTTAAAGTTAAAACCTACAAAAATAAGTATAATCTTTCTAGCTCCAGGCGTATTCAGTTAAAACTTTTTAACATGTATAGGAAATTGGATAATCGTGATATTGATAGAATAAGGTTGACTGTTGCATACATATGTACATTGTTTTAGTTTGCTGTAGTCTAAGTTTGATTGAAAGATCCATTTCCCACCTGTTTTCCTATTTCTAAACATTGTTAAATGGCTTTGCAAAGCATTTTTTTTATCAGACTTTCCTAAACTTTTCCCACAACTGATATAAGACTAATGGGCTTATAATTACTGTGGCAATTTCTATCACCTCCTTTTAAAAGAGGAATAACATTAGCTAACTTCCAATCTTCTGGTACCTGCTCACTATTGAAAGACTTAAAAAAATATATTAGCAAGTGGCTTCACAATCCTTAACCTCCATCAAAACCCTTTGAGAAATATTATCTGGCCCAAGAGCCTTATTGTTCTTTAAACTTTCCAATTTTCATTTTAACAAGCTCAAAATTAACGCAGTCATCTTGTTCAATCTTATTTCCATCTATCAACCATTCAAGATGTGGAATACTGCTTAAATCTTCATTTCTAAAAACTGAAGAAAAAGCAAAATTGAATAACACGGCCATCTCTTAATCATCAGATACATGCCTTCCTTTATCATCCCTCAAGGTCCTACCTCCATCCTAACATTTTATTTACCCTTAATGTATTTAAAGAAATCTTTACTGTTAATTTTTACATTTTCAGACAACCTTTTCTCATACATCGTTTTGATTTCCTAATTTCCTGTTTCACCAACTTTCTTGATCTTCTATAATTTTCTAAATTTTCCATCATACCAGTCAATTTAAATTTCTTAAATTTGTGATGCTTTTCTTTAATTTTATCTCTTATACCCTTTGTGAGCCAATCTGGTATATTACTTGCAGCCACCATTTTCTTTCTATAAGGAATATGTTTATTTTATATATTTAAAAAAGTATCTTTAAAAGATTTTCACGTTTGATCAGTGTCTCCAAGTAACTCAGATGCCCAACTCACAACAGATAATTCTTGTCGCAACCCTTCAAAATTTGCTTCTTTGAAAATTATAACCAAAATATAATTATACCTTATCTCCAAATGCAGCAAAACATTGAACCTAATAGAGAAATTATCACTGGAACCCATTATGGTCTAGTGTTGTTTACTCATAGAGAAGCAAGGTTTTGTTCTTCAGTTTGAGGTTGTGTGCTAGTGTTTTGGATGTAGGCGCAAGTTGCCTGAAAACAAGTCTTTATTTGAATAGAGGAAAGTATGACAGTATAAAGTGTGTTGACTAAAGGAAGAGCACTGATCCAGGATCACCTAAAGAAAATTAATTACAGTATGAACTAGGATTACCATATACGAAAAGAGACAGAATGAGTAAACATAGGAAAATACATCATTTGAATTTTTTTGCATCATAAAGGATATCTTATTGTTATAGCATTTGGATTTAATTGGAAAAACATTAAAATCTTTGAATATCTGTTGGTTGATTTTTTAGGATTTAGTCAGGAAACTAGGTTTTTACACAGGTATTTTATATTTTACATCAGATTCCAAAAAATACAAGAGAAAATATGAGGCTTCTGAAATCAAGGCAGATGATTTTGGAGATGATGATACAGAAACAGGTAAGTTATGGATAATAAAACATGTATTTAGGCATCTTTTTTTTTTGATATTATATATTTATTGACCATTTCTGAAAAAGCTTGGTGCTTCATGACTGATTGTAACTGTCATATGTTTATATGATACTGATATTGTTTTTCAGTGGTTGTATCAATCAGGCACCAACTCTATTTCTCCAGCAGTAAATATTTTGGAAACTTGTTAGCCTCTTGTAGTAACAGAAGAAACCCTTTAAAATCTACAGTCATTTGTTTATCTGATTGCCTGTACTTTTTTAGGTAAATGAATGAATGTTAGAAAGAGTCTTACTTACAGAAACTTTCATAGGACTCTTTTAACACACACCTTGTACAACATTAATAAAATTTTAAAAATCTCCCTCAACTTCAAAGAAATTACTCAGTTTGGGAATCTCATTCATGAAAAAGAGAAAAAAAATTTTCCATCATCGTCCATAATAATAATTTCCCTCTAAAATTTCAAGAGACCAATATTTTCCAAGACTTCTTTTTTTTGTAATTCTTGTAATCATGAACCCTTCAAGTTTTTTTTTTTTATAAATCAGTATTGCATAAAGTTAGGTACAAAGTTGCTTTGAGTTCCATGGGAATTAATTAAATAAAACAAATATTTGTTTCACTAGATATAATTCCAGCTGTGGCTAGCCAGCAGTTGGCTGATGAAAGTGTGGAGGATGAATTTGGAGCAAAAGATTATCGTTCTCAGATGATTTTGCGCACTGACCATGGATCCCGTCCACTATGGGTGGTAAGTGTGTATCAGTTTTCATTTTCGAGAATTGGAATTTTTTCTGCTTTGTAGTGGTTTAAGTAAGGTTATCTTGTTTGCAAATGTATATTATTATCATATATAGATGTTAAAACATTTAAGGAGTGAAATAT